AAAGAAAGAGCCAATCTGAAAAGGCTACATACTATACAGTTTCAACTATATCACTTCTGGAAAAAGCCAAAGTAGGAAAATAATAAATATCAAGAGTTTCCAGGGGGTTGGTGGGGTGAAGTGGGGAAGGGAGATGTGAATGGGAAGACAGTATTTTTAGGGCACAATGGTGCACACCTGTAATCCTAGCAACTTGGGAGGCTGAGGCAAGACGATCACCAGTCTCAGCAGCCTCTTCAACTTAGTGAGGCCCTAAGCAACTTAGTGAGACCCTGTCTCAAAATAAAAATTAAAAAGGAATGGGGGTGTAGCTCAATGGTGAAATGCCCCAGGGTTAAATCCCCAGTACCAAATAAAATAAAATATAAAATAAAATGTTACTATAATAGTATATACAGATCATTATACATTGACCCATACCCAAAGAATACACAATCCCAAGAGTGAATTATAATGTAAACTATGGTCTTTGGGTGATGGCGATGTGCCAATATAGGCTCATCAGTTGTAACAAATGTGCCATCCCGGTAGGAGATGCTGATAACAGGGAGACTATACATGTGTAGAAGAAGATTATAGAGGAAATCCTTGTACCTTTCTCTTTATTTTGCTTAAACTTAACACTGGATCCAAAAAAAAAAAAAAAATGAAGTCTTTTTAAAAATAAAGGGAGCCAGAGGTACAGTGCACACCTGTAGTCCCAGCTACTCAGGAAGCCCAGGCAGGAGGATTGCCTGGGGGGGGGGGAGAGAGAGAGAGAAAGAGAGAGAGAGGGAGGGAGGGAGGGGGAGGGAGAGGGAGAGAGAGAGAGACAATACAATGTAGCCCATCAGAAGTACCAGTTAAGACCATCCAAGAATCAATGCCAGTCCCCACCCCACTCCAACAATAATATTCATGGCACACAAACTCCTTCTCTTTCCCTCTACCATGCAAAACAGTTTTGGGCTTAGTTAGCTTTGAATTACGTATTTTTAAAAGTGTGTCTTATTTCCATATCTTTCCAATTGTTCTAATAAGGACAATTTCTGAGCAATACTGGTAATATCAGTAGATAATATCAACTTAAAAATTCTTCCATGTTGCTAAAGGGCTTAATTAGTAAATGTGTGCTGTAATATGTCTGTTGGAAAATCTGCTTTAGTGACTAATTCTTCAGGGGATAACTCCTCAGAGGTTGAGCTTGTGAATTAATACTCTCTTATGAAACACTTTTTTGAGCCAAGTTGGGGCTTAGAAGAGGGAGAGGTGAAAATTCTCTTGTCACCTCTTCCAGACTCTTTGCAAAGCTCTAGGCAATATCAAGAGAGACATTCTGTACAAACAAGCCTCACCACCGAGGGTCAGGACGCGGAGAGACCAAATGGAAAGAGACAGCTCAGCAGCCTTGGATTAAAGGGCAAATATTTTAGAGTCAGTGTACTCGATTATGTCAGACAGACAGACAGACCCAGGGCACTTTTTGTAGCAGATGGATACTGTAGCAAGGTAAAAAGTTCAGCACCATACACTTACAGACTGAAAGTCTTCCCAGGAAGGAAACATTTGGTTTTGAAAGAATTGTTTTAATGGAGTTGAGAGGTCTTGTTATAACTATCACTACAAATGTGGGTTTCCAGCAAAATAGGAATCTTTATAGATTGAAGCAGTGCTAGCCAACAGAACTCTCATGATGGACATGCTCTACATTTGCACTGTCCAAGATGGTAGCCACTAACCACATGTGGCTGCAGAGCAATGTGAAATGTGGCTAGTGCAAATGAAGAACTGAATTTTAACTTGAATCAGTTTTAACAAAAGAGCCACATGTGGGTAGCAGCTACTGTACTGTATAATTATAGGAAAGGGCTTAGAACACGATTTGGGTTATCACAAGAAAATTTCATGTACATTCTTACCACCTGGAAAAATACTTTATCAGTTCCTTCACTATACACACACACACACACACACACACACACACACACACACACACACTTTGTAGGTTGTTACTACACCAGAAACCACCAGACAGAGCAGTGCTTCTCAAATTTTAGCATCCATCAGAATTCCCTGGGTGTCCTGTTAAACACCCATTACAAGGCCCACTCCTAGAGATTCTGATTTGTTAGGTCTGGACATTTCTAATAGGTACCCAGGTAACTCTAATGTTCTGGTCCAGGGACCACAATTTGAGTGGCTCTTAAAAAAAAAAAAAAAAAAAAAAAAAAAACCTTTCAACATCAAACATCAGCCTACTCCTACCAAAGTAAAGCTTCTTTCACTTGTCACATGTCTTCCACGTAGAAGTGCCTCTTTCATCTAGGCACGTAGAATCCTTCTCAAGCATTCTTAAAGTTTTGCTTAACATATAGGATTATAAGGGCACGGCAGACGGCAAATAACTCCTTACCATGACTTCTCTGCATATTAGATCCAGAGTAGAGTGCGGTTGGTATAAATTTTGTGAACAAGTCTAATAACCACAGGGACCAGAAACTTAGTAAGGGGGAATTCAAATATGCCAGGACAGTTTACATCAAATCCCTGTACTGGCCCTATCTTAGAGAGGTGAACTGAGGCTCTTTACTAAAATAATGTGGACTATTTCAGATCAAGCCAAAATCACAGCTTCCTTCACCATTTCAACACATAGCACTGGAAACATCAAAAAAAAAAAAACACATGCTGTATTTAAAAATTTTATTAATCCCTCCAAGGTCAGATATTGAAGACAATAATCCTTTTCCATATCCCGCCCCCCCTGCAAAAAAAAAGAAGGAATAGAAATATAAAGGTTCTGTAATAAAAGCAAATCTCTCCAGTCTCTGGTCTTTATTACATTACTTGCAAAAAAAAAAAAATGGGTCTGGGACAGYAGTCATTTGGGAAAATATCTTTCTTCTGGAGGTTATATCTTTCTGTCCTTTGGTCTAATTATACATGAGTCACTTTAACAGTAAGAGATCACCTGACTGTCAAATGCAATTTCCTTGACTGCTCTTCTGAATAACCTTCTTTCTACCTCACCCACCCTTCCTTTCTTTGCAAAGGGAAGCCTTCCTCCAGAATAGATCGCAGCAATGATCTAGAAGGTGACACTTTCAAGGAAATTTAGAAATCCAGCACTGTTCTTCATTTCCCCCACGACTAACCCAGCCCTCTTCAAACTCTCCCAGTTCCTGTCATTACCATCAGAAGGATCAGGAGTGATTCTTGGGGTCCAAAAAACCTGGGGGAAAGTTGTTAAGCATTTACAAAGCCCCCAGGTAGTCAGTCAGTCACACAGTACTATGTGTATTACTTCCTGGGGCTGCCAAGGTATTCAGGTGTTTGTAGGTACAGACAGGGAAACAGAAGCAAAAGAAAGTTCAATGTTTAGAACACAGTCCCAGAGAAACTCGGAGCGAGATTAATCCCTGTATTCTTCAGCTGTGGTTCTCAATCAGGACAATTTAGCTCCCCAGGAAACATTCTGCCATGTTTGGAGATGTTTTAGAGAGTCATTAACAGTTGGGGGAGTCACCAGCATTTAGTGGTTAGCGGCTAACCTCCTACAATGACATAGGACAGCTGACACTAGAACTGCCTGTTTCAAAACATCAATACCACAAAMGCTGGAAAACCCTGGTGCCCTGGCATCTCCCACATGACTTTCTTTGGCCCCTCATCAATGGTTTAATATGGCTTCCTCTACAATTTGATCCTTGTCCAGCATTTCCATAGAAACATGCCAGTCAAGTGCTCTCTCTTTTAAAATAGGAGATATATGTGAGCCAACAAGGGAGGCTAGCAAAGCCTGGCTCCATGCTCATGAGAAAACCTAGCAAAGGCCAGTTCCTCTTGAGAGCACCCTCCAGGCCCCTGCTGAGGTCTGCATCGGGCCTCTCACCTGGACTCCCGAGTGGCTGGCATGCTTAGCAGCTGCCTCTCCCTCCCTGTTTTGCTTATCTCCAATTGCGCACATCACTTGAGAGCAGTAATGATGTACGTTTATGGGAATCTCCAGAGATCTGCAGCCCTTAATTGTCTATTTTGTTCAGTAAATTGTACTCATTACTGAGCCACATGAGGCACCTAAGTACATCAGCCTTTCTGGGTGCCCTCTGTTGGAGCCTGGGTAATGGAACATTATCTAGCAAGGCCTCTGCAGTATTGAATCCAGCTGCTTAAAACAATCCTCTACCTGGTTTTTCAGCTGATACTTTTTTTTTTTGTAACTTCCAGTCCCTCTTTATTATCCATCCTTAGGTCAGCTTAGATTAGCATTAATCATAATTTTCTTTTCAATTAGTTTGGTTTGAGTTTAAGCTCTAGAAGTTGGAGAGCTCAGTGTGACAGTGGTGTCTTTTCAACCCTTCCTTCCTGGATTTCCACCTGGGCTCTGAGAAGGGCACACTCAACAGTGGAGGCTTCTGATGGTCTTGAAAATCTTCAGCGTAAACAATTACTCAGAGTCAGCTTTGGGTATGATGTGGCCACATGCACCAGGGGCTACAAGCAGATGGAGAATGAATGGGCATGTGGCTTCCGGTGACACTGGATGAAATAAAGCGGAACAGACTGAACCATGTGCTTTGTTAGTGCTAATATGCTCCAGACCAGGAAGCTATTTCCTCAGTGGAGAAAAAAAAAATGATCAGCAAAGGAAAAGTTAAGCAGAGTGATCCATGGGGAAAGAGGAGAGTGGGCAAGAGAGAGCAGAGCTAACAATATGATATAGCTTCAAGGATAGTACTCCACAGGGAGGCCCAGTAACCCTTCCCATAGAAATCACCTCCCATATGAACTCACTAAAAATTCCTGTGCTGAGACATTTCCACGCACAGAATCCATAGCATCACCTGGAACACAGTTTTCTCTTTATAACTGCTGATTTGCATGGTGTCTGTGAGTCAAATCAATAAAGCCTTTCATAGGCAGGGCRTCCCACTTCGCTGACTCCAGAAGCCTGGTGAGACAAGAGCCCCTGTGATTTGGCAAAGCCAGAGAAACAACGGCAAGGAGAGCCATTGCCTTACCCTGGAGTAGAGGGTGTGGAAGCCTTCAAACGCGCTTACATCCTCACGACCCATCGGCTCTGCTGCTCGCCACTCGCTCACTTCTGCATGTTGGACCACGACCAGTGGATCACCAACTGCCAAGTAAAAAAAAATGCATGACTGCATCAGTCCAAGTGCCACAGGAAAGCAGGGAGCTGAAAATCCAAACCTTGGTTCTTGTGTTTCAACAAAAGAAAATTTGAAGTCAAATACCAAAAGTCATGCAAGAGAACTGAGAATAGGTGAAAGTAAAGTAAAAGCAAAGTGAGGCTTAGGCAGAAAGCACTCCCAAGAGAGAGAGAATGGGCTGTCTCTGAGCAGAGAACAACAATGCAGACAACGCTACCTCCAAATTTATTACTGTTTGCTGTTTGCCAGGAGATTGGGGACCATCTTCTGTGGACCCTATCAAGAATTAGTCCCATTGATCTTTTTATTTTGAGGTATTTTCCCATTAGCTCCTTTGCTCCTGTTTATTTTCTACAATTAACTACCACCGTTTGCTTTCTCCTCTACTTTGGAAGTAGTTTAAAGAAGACCCTAAAGTAATTTAAAGAACACTTGTGACCATGCCGTGCATTTCACTGCTCATTGCTAGCTGCTACCTAACACAAGGACCCACCACTTCAAGTCTCAAGCCACTGTTTGAGTGAGTTTGTTAGAGTAGGCCAAGTGCTTAACACACAGACCCAAACCTCTATTAATAGTTTGGGCACAATCAAAGTTCAGTTTTAGTTCCTGTATGCACACAGGATGGGTGGAGGTCAATTAGTGGGGTGGCATGATACAGTGATCCAGGTACACAGGCTGAAGCAGGTCTGCGTCCTTAAAACATAAGTTCGGAGAGGTTCTTTCCATTCTAGCCAGCTAGGAATGGGAAAGGGAATTTGCATCTGTGTGTGGTCTCCCCTTCCTGCTTAAAGTGGTTTACAGCACTTTTTTCCACTTCCACACACATTCTATTGGTTGGTTAAAACACAATCACACAGCCACACCTAATCCCATGGGCTGAGCAACTAGCAATCTTTACCATACAAAGCTGATTCCAGCCCAGTCAAGAAGACAACTTTAGGGTTAGAGCAGGGAGTTCTGGGTAAGACATGAGCACACTAACTTTGACTTAAGTTCCTTAACTCTAGGTCTCAGTTTCCTCATGTGTAAAATACCCTGCCTCCCTCACAGGGTAAAGGGAAGATTCAAAATTAAATCAAGCAGCTCTTCTCAGACTCTCATGTGTGTGCAAACAGTCTAGGCATTTTGATAAAATATAGATTCTGATTTGGTGATGTCAATTTCATGGGTGAGGCCTGATCTACTGCATTTCTAATAAGTTCCCAAATGATGTCAACGCTGCTGTCCTCTGCCCACACTTTGAATAGAAAAGAGATGCAGGATTAGAGAATATTTTCATAAATTTTATACACAAAGTGACTTGCAGATATAAAGAATTCTTGCAGTGACAATCACCTGAATACATTGTAAATGAGTTCCTGGCTTAGCCAGCATTTTAAAGATGCATTCAGACTAGAATTTCATAGAGTCATAAAATTTTCAAACAGGAAAAAAATTTAAGTAGTCACTGCTCTCTTTCCTTTTGGTCAGACAAGGAAACTCAGAGAAATCAGTGTTGGCTCCTGCTCCAATTTCAAAATCACTTAGCAGTGTGCCAGGACTAGAATACAGAAATTGGTCTTTTCTCTTTATTACATGAACTTAATCAATAACCTCCTAAAGAATACGTAATGTTTAATTATCCAGCTAAAGAAAGAACAAATATTACTCTGGCCTATGCTCCAAAAAAAAAAATTCCAGAAGGTGGCATTCACCTGCAAGGATCACCACAGGTCTCAGTGCCGGCAAAGTGTCACAGGGCACAAATCAAGAGATTTTCAAGAAAACATCCTTTGCAATGCAATGATTCTCTGCCAAAATTAATTTCTCATGTATCTAAAATGGGGGTGGAACACAAAATAACTTCTGCATTCCTTCTGGAAAAACACATTTTTTTTTTAACTTTCAAAATATACAACTCTGAGTCAGTTCTAGTTGGTGACAATTAGTAAAAAGAGAGAATTAGGGACTGCAAATAGTAAAGGGAAATAAAATAATGGGCTAAAGAGGAACACTGTTTCCATGTTACACCATAGGTACAAATAAAGGAATGAAAGGAATTTTTGTTTACTCCTTGCCATGTAAATTATTCTGCATCTTTAAGATCTTGGTGGGTCCTAGGAACTTATAATAGAACATGAGATGTAGTACCTCACTAGTGAAAGAGTCAAAATTCCAAGTCATAAATCAGAAAGGCAATGAATATGTGGAAGTAAAATTAACTGTGGGAGATGGGAGCCCCTTGGTATGCACATCATCACCAATAAAACAAGTGAACTTGAAAGTGTTTGAGGGAAATTAGGAGAGTACCTATTAAGCAAGGAATGACGAATGAAAATGGAAATCAATACTTGGATATCCATTATTAACTTCAAATGGGGTAAAATGCTATTCTTAGCATCTTCTTATGGTGACCAATTTCAAACATTTTAATGAAGGTAAAATGTTCCTAAAATCTTCCACATGTTTATTCCTAGACTCCACCCCAACACTATTTCGCCATAATGTCCTTGTTCCACAACTGAGGTCTTCCATCTTGGCAATTTCCAGAGTCTAATCTAGACTCTAGACTCCTTACCTTATTTTTGTGTGGTAGACCCTTTTGCTAGACTGTTGAAGCCCAAGGACTCCCTTGTCAGAATAACTGTTAGACTGCAGGTAAGATAAAGTGCACAAAATATTTACTAATTAAGTGAATTCTATGTAAATGCTCTCCTGTCCACACAGACTTAGGGAGTAAATGACCCAACTTAAGAATTTATCTGATTGGGGGATGACTATTCTAGAATGATGGAAGTTTTTTCTTACAGGAAAGAATATGCAGAAAAGTTTTAAAACTCATTGATACACAGCTAAACAATCCTGCTCAGAGTCAGTAAGTGAAGAAAAGAAAGAGTTGCAAAGAAAAGCCTGACTTTCGATCTCTGCCTATACTAAAGCTATTCATGCTGGGGCTTTAAAATCCTGTATCAAGAAATTCTTCAAAGGACTTTCTTGACCCATTCCTGCAACACAGCATTTTCTGTGTCCTGATGTTACAGGACACAGGTGAAGGAAGGTGACATTGGAGAAGAGAAGACTGTAGTGAGTCCTGTATTTGGGTCCTAATCCCCCAACCGATTCTTTGCTACAAACCAACTTCTGAGGTCAACTCATGCACCTCTGAGTTGAAACTCCCTGTCTAAAAAAAATGAGCAGGTTAAATTAGACCATCTCCAACATTTTCTCCAACTCTGACCTGTCAGGATTCTGACACTGCACCACCATTTCTCTGGGAAGAAACATTAATAAGATTTCTTTTTACCCTAGGTCCAAATTAGGAATAAAGCTTCTATATAAGAAATTTCCAGAGGATTCAGAAATGTCTTCTGAGAATCACCTAACCATAACTTTAAACCTAGAAGGGACACCCTCTCACCAAACCCAGTAAACAGGTAAGGAAAATGAGGCCCAGAGAGGCAGAGATTTATTTGTGGTCATATCATGAGGAAACACTAATGCTATTGTGACTACTGCTATCTAGCACCAGCGGAATTTTAGGAATTGGTTTGGGTATTCAAAACCAGCTCCTCAGTTCACTTGGAGAGAGACAGAAATAAAACAGAAATAAGCTGAGGCATGAGATGGGGACTGCACAAGGTAGCAGGTGACTGGGGTAAGGGCACCCAGAGGCAACGTGGTGTACCTCAGGCAGGGTCAGAGCTGAGGTCCTTGGTCGCACTGTGCCCTTTTTATCACTGGGAAAAACACCTACCTCCTTCAAATATCATGTCTAAAAAATCCATCTCAAAGAACAAGCATAATTATTTCAAAATGGGGAAGGAAGATACATATGTGAGCCCTCACTAATAAGGTTAATAAAAGCAAAGTTCAAGTTTGGGGTGGTTAATACCATCTTGAAAGATCAGCATTTGTTAAGAAAAATCTAAAAGAAACTTGTTAGAAATTTTCAAGTTTAAAAGTAACTTGAAATAACTTTGACCTATCTCCTGTGGCCAGCCCTGAAGTCTAGTAATTACTCTACAGCAGTTTTAATAATACATTCACTGCTATCTTCAGAATATGTAATTATTGGCTAGTTGGTCAAGTTTAGAAATCATATGACTATTTCCATAGTCCCATCCATTGTAGAGATTAACTTTACATGAAATAAATACAAATAATGAAACTGTTGGAAATTTTGATCAAATCATGATCTAAATATGTTTCATATGTATTTCAACAATACACATGCAGAATGCTTTTAAACTTATGCTTTGATGCTTAATTGTCTATTTACCCTCTGCCTTCTGCCCTCAGAAACACATGGAAAGTAATCACAACAAGGCACATTACTCTCTATCTCATATAATGAGCTATGGCTTTCAGAACCATTTTCTTTGAGACAGGCATGGTGGCACACACCTTCCAGCACTGAAGAGGCTGAGGCAGGAGGTTCCCAAGTTGGAGGCTAGCAATGTAACAAGACTTTGCTTCAAAATAAAAAATAAAAAGGACTAAGGATGTAGATGATTGAACAGTGCCCTGGTTCAATCCCCAGCACACAGGCATAACTATTTTCTTTGAGATTCTCTTCGAAAGCTTGCAGAGCCAGTAGAGAATAGGACAGACAGCAGAATACATCAGACACTAGAAAGGCAATATGTCAATCAATGGAAGGGTAACTGATGTGATACAGCAATYTGTATACGGRGTAAAAGYGGGAGTTCATAAYCCACTTGAATCAAACCGTGTAATATGATGTATTAAGAACTATGTAATGTTTTGAACAACCAACAATAAAAAAAAAAAAAAAATCCAGATTAGAGACTCCATCCACCCTGCTGGTTTGACCACTCCATAGCCCAGCTTCTCCAGGAATTCCCAGAGGCAGCAGTGCCATCTACTGGTAGGGAGGGTACAACTTGTTTTCTGAAGCCTGTGCTTCACATGAACTGAGGACCGAAAGAACAGCAGTAGAGATTTGTCTTTGTGAGGCTTTTTTTTTCTAGAGCACATTGCAAGAAAAACTGATGCTTACAGCCCGAGGGAGACACCTAACCTCCACAGGACCCTCGGTAATATGAACCACAGGTCCTCTGGAAGCCATATGAAGCCCAGCAAGGATAACTAATACCCAGGCAGCTCTGTCTGGAAATGCCCTCTCAAGGCTCCAAAGGCAAGCGGCAGAGCCTCACTGAACTCAACATTTCCAGCCTCTCTTTCCCCCAGGGCTTCCCTATCAGATGATCTCACCCCCGTGCCCCCACCTGTGGCCGCTTTTTCCAGCTTAATCTTACAGCCTGCGCCCTAAGGACGGCGCTCAGAGCTTTTCAACATGAAGGCTCTTATATTTACACAATGTGACACAGATCCTCCTCAAAGGACATTAGTGCCTAGGCATGCAGGTGGACTTTAATCTCTCTCATTAGCTCTTCATCCTCCCTGTCCCTGACCCAGAGCGCAGAAAGGAAATAAATTTGTTGTTCCCTTGAAAGTAACACTAGTGGGCTTTTATTGAATCAGAGAATAAAACCTTGTTCCTATAGGTCGCTGAGGTATATTGCTTCCCTTGAGTTGAACTAAACCTGCCAATCTTCCTGTTGCCTTGGCATAACCTAATGAGTGTTTCTCAACCATTGGAAACCCTGCCACTGTTTAAACAAACATCGTATGCCCTTTGTGGAGTTTATATACAAAAAAAATACATTTTTCTCTAAAAACAAAAGTGCATGGCTTTCTTAAACTATGCCACCTACTTCACCCTTCAAATTCTCTTCCCCACTACATACCAGCTTAAAAAAAAAAAAAGAAAAAGAAAAACACTGACAAAGTTCTTAAATACTTCCACCAATCTGCTTTGTGTTCCAATCCATCAGGTGACAATCTGTATTTCACTTTACAAGGGTCATTTGTGAAGTACCATTGAGCTTCATGGCAATTTCTGTTCTTTCACATTCCTTCATCTCAGAAAACCACCAAAATATGACTTGCTGTAGTTGATAAACCTGAAGCTGATATCCCTAACAAATTGAAGTGTCACTTCCTCAAAAAAAAGATTTTTTTAACTCACTTAGTAAATTGAATTTTCAGCAAAGGAAGACATTTCACAAGTATGGGGTGTGTCTTAGATGTCTGAATATCAGATTGTTTCCTAAAGAAACACAACTCTGTAGGAAGGATAGAGTACCAAAGGGCTTTGAAGTGGTATCAGGATGACTCTGAGAAGTCTGGTGAAGATTCTTGTTCCATCTCATACCAGAGTAAGTCCTAATGGTTGAACCATTTCTTACTGGGTAATTGCCAGGTATATCCAACCAAATACTTAACCAGTGGAACACGGAAGGGACTTTGTATGTTTCACTATAAGATATACCATATGCCCTTACTATTGCCAGTCTGGGGAGATGGAGTAGAAGTGGGGGATACCTTGCAGAGTTTAACCAGCTCCTAAACTCCTGGACACACCCTCACCCTTTTAAAGTGTGATTTAAAGTTATGACTTAAGGGCTGGAGTTGGGGCTCAGTGGTTGAATTCTTGGCTAGCATGCGTGAGACACTGGGTTTCATCCTCAGCACCACATAAAAATGAAATAAAGATATTGTGTATCCACCTACATCTAAAACGTAAATATATTAAAATTTTAAAAAGTATGACTTAAGGGAGATATTCCCCCCTTCCCCACCACAACTCTTCTGGCAGCCAAATGGTTTAAACATACACTTTTCAAAGAATTAAGGAGGTCTGAGTAGGTTCAATTTAGACCTTGCCTTCCCTCTCCCCATAGCCCATTAACATGCTGAAAATAAGTAGTCACTTGGGCAGCACTAGAAATTTACAGAAAATTACGCCCCCCCCTCTCACACACCCCCTTCTTATATTCTTAAAGAAGAATCTCAGTGTGATGGTCTGGTCTGCAGTTCACTGCAGGCATTTCCCTCCTCACCATTTACCATTTACCAGCCATCAGTTACGCTCTATCTGTAATTCTTTTTTTTTTTTTTTTTTGTAGCCTCTCATTGAGACCGGCTGCATCAGTGCCCGACTGCTTTTAATTTATTTTTTTCTTTCTTTTCTTTTTCTTTTTTTTTTTTTTTCCTCGTTTCTTTTTAGTCTCTTAACAAATGTCTGGATTTCTTCAGCAGGCTCAAGGCGATCCTTTCGGTGAAACTCTGGGCTGGGAGCTGGCGTTCCAGGTCCAGCGGGCAGCCTTCTCGGAGCAGCACCCCGGGTTCCGTGCACCCACGAAGCCCCCACCCGTGCCAAGACTGGCGGCTCTCCTTCGCACAGCTGSGCTAGGAATTCGGCTTCGCTCGCAGCCGCCACCGGATTAGTTCGAGTCCCAGGGGCTCGGCCAAAGTGACAGTACATTTTTTTTTTCCTACTGTTCTCCCATGTGACAGGTCCCACGGCACGAAAGCCACCTTCTGTTTAGCCCAAGTCCGGCTCCCGTGACGCCCCCGCCCCGCCACCCGCACCCTTTACCTGGGGAGGGGACCGATGCCAGCATCCCTCCGGGCGGGAAACAAAGGCGCAGGCGAGAATGCCAGGTGGGCAACCCCCTCGGGCAGAACCCGCAGCGCAGTGGGAAGGATGGGGAGGTGCATCAAAGGGTAGGAAAAGGGAAACCGAGGCAACGACCGAAGCGGCGGAGCTGGGACTGCATCCTCCCCACAGCCGGGCTCCTGGGGCAGGCGGACCCCAGACCTCCCCTGCCCCGCCCAGCTCTGCCCACCCCCGGTTTGCGGGAGCGGGCATGGGAGAGACTGGGGGACTGGCCGCTGGCTCTGCTTACCTCCGGAGAAGCGCTCCGGCTCCCTCCGACGGCTCGGGAGAAAGCCCCGCCGCTCGCGCACGCGCACTCGCGCTCTTGCGCCTTCGCCCCTCTGGCCCCCGCGCGCTCCCCTCCGACCAGGCTCTAGCCCGCCCCGGCCCTGTCCGTCAGCGTCCGCGAGAGCCAATCCGGTCGCCTGGAAGGCCCAGCGCCGGTCACGTGTCCAAACCAGCCAATCACCAAATTGCCCTCGGCAGCGCCCGCTCCGATGTCCCTAGGGGTTCGGTTGCTACCGCGCTGAGCCGGTGCGAGGCTGGCACAAAGGGCTGAGTCTCTGTTTTCCAGGCTGAGTGGTGCTCGCTTGATCCATTACTAAGTCAGGTGATTTCTCAAATGCTAATTTAAGTAAGAATCACCCYAAGAATCTTGTTAAAATGTGGATTCTGATCCCAAAAGTCTGGGGTGGGGACTCTTTGAGATTCTGCCTTTTTAACCAGTCTCCAGGTGGTGATGACGCTGCTCCTGGTCCGAGGACCACAATTTTAGGATCATCCGTCAGAAAATGATGGTTCTAGCCCCTCCACAGGCTATTTGAAAGTTTCATGACCTTTTTGGTCCTTCCTCCAGTGGAAAAGTATTCCAGTGACTGACATGGGGTGTCCTGACGACATCTATAGTTAGGTCATGGCTGAGGGAAGGTGTGTTTAATTTCCACATGACCACCCACAGGCTGTGGAGGAGCAACTTGTGCCAACTTAATGATTGGAGTGTGGAAACCACAAGCAGAGACAGAATGCTCATCTAAGGGACACTAAGTCTTCGCTCAAATGATCAGCAATGGGTGTCTGTGAGAGACTCTGGGACAGAGAGCTGAGAAGCCAATGCAAGTGGACCCTGCTTCCTAGAAACATACAGTCTGTCATAGAACTACATAGGCAAGCTCAAAGATGAATACAGGAGAAACATGGAAGGAGCTAAGAGGCACCTTGGACAATTCAAGCATAAACAGAGGGGTTGTAAGATAGCCTACTTGGGTATCTTAAAAATTGTCCACTCTTCTGTCCCTAATTTCAAGTCCGGAAGCCCAGTGCCTCTGACCATCTCTCAAACTTGACCTAAACCTCAGTGTTTTCAGACTAACCAGCTAGATCCATTTGGTATTCAGCATAACCAATCTCTTATTACCTAACAGTGTCCCAGCAAGGTTCAAGAGTTTTAAGTGCTGAATTCTTCAATACCTTCCTCCACCAACTCATCGAGTATAACACTGCTTCAAGCAGTTATAGCTCACTGTTCATCAATGTGATCAAACTACTACTTAGAGAAAATTTCACTCTTGTCAGTGTCTGGTAATTCTGGCTTCTCATCCTGAAGTGAAGCCCACTTAGTTATGTCAGACCTGGTTCATCACATTGTCCCCATCAGAGATGGCATAACAATGGTTCTGGCATCGCTGGAATAAAGGAATGCTTAAGCTAGAACAATCGGTTTGAAAACCTCAAAGAAAGATTCTTTTGCATCATTGAACTAGTGATTCTCAAGCCTGACTCCGTGCTATTTAGGGTAATAAATTATGGGGCCCTATGCCTAGGAGTTCTGATTGAGAGGAGGAATGAGATGAGGAAGGATAGCTCTAAGTTCAACAAGTATCACAGGTGATTTGATATTCTTGATTGACACCACCTGCATAAGCTGCTAGATTGATGGGCTCATTCTTTAACAAGGAAAAAAAAACCAAATCCGCAACACAAATCACTAAAGACATACGCATGCTGTAAAGACAGGAGCATTTCCATAATTTTGAAAATAGATATTTAAAAGGCCAGAAATAATTCATAGGTAATAAATACTCCAAGGACTATTCAGTGGAACAAATTGAAAAGCTAGGTCCACAATTAGGTTTAATTCTAGTGGACTGACAAAATATTTCAGAAAAAAAATCTATTGCTTCACTTCTTAAATGCTCTTCTTAACTAAAACCAATTTCCATTTGAGCATTATTAAGAGTTATTCTCTGAGGCTTTTCCCAAAATGTATGACAGAGTCGCCTGGGGTACCTGTTAAAATGCAGATTCCCAGGGCCCAATCCAAAGCTTTCTCCTGGTTGTCCTTATGTAAAGATTCTGAAGCCAGTACTGGTTAAATGTGAATCCAAGTTGTACCTCCTGATATAGAACATCTACATACAAGCAAACCCTCAAATAAAACAGCTGTGCTATTAGTTTAGCTTGTCATGCTAGCTAAATAAAGGAATGAATCTATTTTAGAGGATTCCAAGAGATTCTCAGTTCTCTACAGGAGTTTTACCAAATTCTGTTACTTTGTCAAACAAGGTGATCAGTAACTAGATCTTGGAATTCAGTTGCTGCACTGTTTTTCCATGGAGAAATATACGCTGTAGTGGGGTCTGACCTAGTTTTTAACTGAATTACTGAGGTCCCCTCAGAACACTATACCAACAACAGTCATCTTGCTTAAGAGTGATTTTATTTGCAATGCCAGAAATATAGAAGCCCTATGTGTGAGCCTGCAAACTAGCTTCCCTCCTCTGACACTTTTAAAAATATATTTCACAGCAACCAAATGAGGGAGAAAYGTTCTCACCTGTAGCATTATCTATTGGGGAAAATAAGGACAGTTTTTACTTATACTTAACTAGCATGAGTAATGTAAAATTTTAAGTAGAAAAAAGCATTTTTTTTTCTYCTTGTGGGTGTCATCATTGCAGAAAGAGGCAACAGGAAGCAAAGAGATTCTTGAGTGAGGATGTGAATTTGAAAAAAAAGAACATCCAGGCTGTCTGTCATTCATTTGGTTTCTTTATATACATAACCTGACTATCCTATTTCAGGAAATAGATATGTTAGTATGTGATATGAGTTAGCTCGAACAAGTTTCCCTCTCCCAGAAATTGCTCAGCAAGAGATTTATATTTGAAAAGAAAAGAAAGAGATAAGATATAAACCACCCTACCAATTTGCCAACTCCCAGAAATCCACCATTGCTCCATTGTAATCAGAACCCCCAAAGACTGCTTTATAATCACTAATTACATTTTTATCTCTCTAACAATAAATAGCTTCTCTAAACTTAATTGATTTCATTCATGAAGATCCACAAATTACCCAAGATTCTATGAGTCATATAAATCCATCCAGAAGAACATTGTATACCTATGTACTATGTTTTAATAACTGGATACTTTCTTTCCATTTAGCTTTAACCTACCATAGACATTTTTGTAGAAAAGTTGGTTTTATTTATATTCTTTATAGAAATATAGAGATATTTTCTATGGTCCAAAAAATAAAAGAATATACTACTCTTTTGATATTTTATAAAATAGTTTAGCTTTTAAAAGCATGTAAATAATATGATATACACCTGTATACCCACCCCAACTTAAAAAAACAAAACATTATAAATACAGATGAAACCCCCTCCCAGAAAGTTGATCTGTTAACTGGAGATTTCATGCTTAGCAAACTTAGCCATGAAAGAAAATTGAACTGTATGAAGGTAATAGAAAACACAGTATCAATGGGCAAAATTCTCACTGAATAACTTGTTTGGAAGTTCCAAATTGATATAGGAAAACAAACAAGAGCTGAAATTTCATGTGATCCAACATCTGTGTTATACAATTACAGATTTGGACCTGGAAAGCAGGTCACTTTTAGAAAACAACAGAGGTCATTTGGAATAGAAGTAAGGTAAGGAGTCAGGTCTCCTTCATTGAATAAATCTGCACTACATGAGCCCTGTCTTTTAAGAGAAGTAAGGTATAAGAATCCAAAATAAAAAGTGGTACGTTCCAAGTGGGGCACACAGCACTGTCAGGAAGCATGTAGAAAGACCACCAGTTCTCATTCATGAAATCAGGGCTGGCTTTCTGTAAGAAGTGATATCCAAATTCTCAAGAACTTGAAAAGTTACCCAGCTGTTATGGACTGAATGTTTGTGTCCCCCAAAATGTATACGTTGAACCTCCACCCCTTTCCCAGTGTGATGGGATTAGAAGGTAGAATCTTTGGGAGATAATTCAGATTAGATGAGGTTATAAGGTTGGATGAGATTAGAGCCCTTAATAAAGTCACCAGAGACTTTCTTCCACTCTCTGATCTCTGACACATGATGATATAAGGAGTAGGCAGTCTGCAACCCAAAGAGGCCCACCAGAACCTGACCATGCTAGCRCCCTGACCCCAGCGTTTAGACTTGTGAGAAATTAATTCCTGTTGTTTATAAACTATCCAGTCTATGGTACTTTGTCATAGCAGCCCAAATGGACTAGGCCACCAGAAAATGGCACAAGGAAAGATGTCATAGGATGAGGGAATAGCCCGTAGAAAAGAACAAAGAAGACAAAGCTTAGCACAAGAGCATAGAACATTGGGGAAGGAAAGCTAGTTTAATTTGACTGGATATGGGAGGAGAAGAGAGAAAAATTAATACTTGAAGGTRGAGCAAAAACCAGAATTCAAGGATGGCAAATGCAGGATCTGTTATTCCTCCCTCTTCTTGGACATATGGCAGAATTAGTCAACCATGGAATTGAATTCTACTACAGTGATTATGAGAAGAACCTAGGGCCATATGAACTAGGTTAAACTCCCAGCTTCYCCTTTTACCATCTGTGCAAAACTGGACAGTTAGGCCTTTGGAAGATATTGAGTAAGTGGTTTGCACAATTTTTCTGTCTCTAAAATGGAAATAATGGCAATGCAATGTCTCTTACAGTTGTGAATGAGTTATAAATAATTGAAAGTGCTATAGCAGTGTTAAAACAAATGATAGCTATTATCAGTATCCTCAGAAACTAGATGTAGCCTCAAACTCCTCAACCTAGGATTATTTGCATCCCACTTCAACCAATCAGAATTGGTACCCAGGGAACCTCCCTGTCATTTCTGGTGTCTGATGCCTCTGATTTATAGCTGACCCTAGTGCCACTTACCGGTACCAATTCTTATCCAACATTTATGCAAGTTCTCTAGGATTAAAAGTTCCACTCTGTCCGGAAAGTCATAAAAAAAATCTAGTCACCAACACACC